AAATAAGGAAATATTCTCAAATGAACACACAATCTCCAAGAACATACCTAATTACAATAATTACAATTTCCCTAAATACAACTGTTAATTACCTAATTATAATAATTATAATTTCCCTAAATACAACTGTTAATTATGGTAATTAAGATATTGTCATATCTCCGGGATTTCAACAACCACCCACTTCACTTTATTACTTTCATGGTTTGAACTTGATTAAAATTGAAACTTATTAGCTAATAAAGAGTCAATCCTTAGCTCTATATTTATATGTTATGAGCATCTCAAATTTATTGGAATACAACTAAAATTATCCTCGTCTCAATCCTTTTGCTATAAGTTTGTTTTTAAGTCATGGGGTTCTACCTAAGAATAAAAGGCTTTCGTGTATCAAGCCCTTTTTTTGGAGAGAGAAAAAAAGTTCCACTTTTTGGTAAAATTAGTAATATGGTCACTTCTACATGTTAAATGTTAATTATACCCCTTTTTGTTTACCCAAAAAAAAAATAAAAAAAATCGTTTTGCCATTTGGTAGTTGCACGACTTTTGAGGCAAATTTTGGAAGTTTTCAAGAGAAGAGTGAGATAATTGATTGGTATGCTAGACAATTTTAGCCATTTTAGAAGCACTTTAACTAATCAAGACGGTCGAATCTGTCTAGTATAGATGGTTGAAACTATCTAGTGTATACATTTTGACTAATCAAGACAATTTCAAATTTCTATGCTATACAATTGAAACTATCGCGAGTAGTTGGATTGTCTAGTGTACCAGCCAATTGTCTTGCAAAAATGAATCTCGCATTGGAAGTTTTCAGGATTGGCCTCAAAAGTTGTACGACTACCAAGTAAGGTTAGATTTTATGAAAAATTGTAACATTAGGGGTATTTTCGGTAGTTTTATTTAAAAGTGGCCACTCATTGGTATTTCTCTAAGAATAATTGGACAAGAAAACTAGAAAAGATAAGAGAGGATTTCAATTTTTTAAAATTTATGTTAAGAGCAATTTTAGAGAAACAAAGAATTAATCAATGAATATCTCCATTAGCCTTTTTTTAGCTCTATTCTCTTTATTTTAGAGAGCCAATTCACTTATCAAAAAAAAAAAAAAATTAGAGAGCCAATTCATTTTTCAAGGAATCCAACAAACCCTATATAATATTTTTAGTAATTTCATTGATTATTTTACAACTTTCCATGCACCTCTTTCAGAATCAGAAGGAAAATAATGAAATAAAATGAGCGAAGCTAGGTGAAAAGGGGAGGAAAAGTATTGATTCATAATTGTTAACCGAAAACATTCAAATAAATATTATATATGAAGAGTTTTGTTGGAGAAGTGTAAAAAGTTTGACTCTTTATTTTTAAATATTTTTCAAGATGCTCTTTGTATTGTCTTAAGGAGCATATTTTCTAATATAGAGAACATCTTAGATGAATTTTGAAAATAGAGAGTGGAACTTTTTATAAACATCCAACAAACTCTCTTCCTTATTTTGCTTGTTCCTATAAGTAATTATGATTCAACATGTTTTCTCATCTTTTTCACTTGCTTACCTCCAAATAAGTACATAGATAGTAGTGAAATAATTAATGACACCATAATAGAAAGGGGGTTTGGCTCTCTATATTTGAAGAATTCAAATCCCCTCTTTATTTTGACTTTTAATGATAAGAGAGTTTGTTAGACTTTTTAATTCCAGGGTCAACTCTTTATAATAAATAGGTTGAGCTCTTTATTCGAATTTCTAAATATAAGCCCCCGTTTGGCCTCCATTAAGTTCTATTTAATTTCCCTCTCCTATTTTTAATCACACAATCTTTCATAAAATAATACTACACGTAAATCAAAAACTTTTCATACTTTTCAACCACTCATTTAAAAAAAAAAAAAACACTATTCTACCCATTTTCATTTTTGAAAATGGGGGCCAAACGGGGGCTAAAAAAGTTTGTTGGACTTTACAAGTCCAAGGTCACTGCTTTATAATAAAGAGGATGAGACCAATAAAGAATCTATTTGAGATGCTCTAACATGTTAGGAAACAAATGACATTCGATAATGAGAAATGATGTCACTATGTTTTCCATGCACATGTAGATTTTTGATGCTTGCCTTCTAAAAGGCACTCAAAGCAACTTCAACTATCTTTGTTCATGCATGTCTGGTGAGGGGATCACACTACCTCTTGCCTCTCCAGTTTTCCTTCCAGACTTTGTCTTCAATCTGATGTTTCTCAATTTATTTGTAGCTAACTTTGATTTCCAAACTTGCATGATTTTTTATTAAGAGCCTGTTTGAGCCCCATTTTCATTAAAGAACTCGCATTTTAAAATAGTAGATTGATGGAGAATGTGTGGTTAAAAAACAAGGAAAAGTTTTGAATTTGTGTGTAATATTACTTTATTGAAAAATGTGTCTTTGAAAAGGAAAGGGAGAACAATGTATTTTGAAAATAATGTGGGGATCAAACAAGGGCTAAATATGAGATAATGATCCTGGACATGTTAAGCCCCGTTTGGCCCCATTCTCATTCTTTTTCTCTCTCTTATTTTCAACCACACAATCTTTCATAAAATAATATTACACTCAAATAAAAAACTTTTCATTTTTTTTAACCACACATTTTTCAAAAAAATACTATTCCAACCATTAAAATTTAGAAAGAATGGGGACCAAACACGGGCTTACTTATTTGATTTATGATGAAGGTTTGGAAAATACGCTTCCCCCTATAACCTCAAGTATCTTTTGAAAAGTACCACTAAGAGAGGGGGCATTACCTAACTTCTAAACACCTTTTCTGGCATTATAAGCTTGCGAGCTCAAACATAAAATTTTTTATATGGTGCAGGAATTCCAAAGTAAATTGGGCCACAATTTTACTACGTATGATTAAGTTTGTGCTGCCTACTAAATTTTACTAATCACAAGAAGCTATTTCAGGATGACACAGGATAGCGGCGGTTAAAAATGCACTAATCACATGTTGGGTGGGGACCCTCGACTTCATCCTGCAAACTTGGCTCACGAGAATTTCCTGATTTTTTATTTATTTTAATTTTTTTATTTTTTATTGTGGAAAGGGTGGAGAGGAGGTTAGCGGGTTAGAAGCGTATGTACCTCTCAAAGGGAGGTCACCTTACTCTTATCAAGTCTACTCTCTCTAATCTACCCACTTACTTCTTGTCTTTGTTTCCTATTCCTGTTATAGTGGCCAAGAGACTGAAGAGGATCCAAAGGGAGTTCCTTTGGGGAGGGTTAGGAGAGGAGAGGAAATTTCATTTGGTCAATTGGGGTGTAGTTTATTCTCCCACAAGGGTTGGGGGACTCGGATTGAGGAGCCTTGTATTGTTTAATAAGGCCTTATTGGGTAAGTGGTTATGGCGATTTGGGGTGGAGAGGGAGAGTTTTTGGAGAGAAATTATAGAAGAGAAATATGGTATTATGGAGGGTGGATGATGTTTAGTTGTGAGGGTCGTGGTACCTACGGGGTGAGTTTGTGGCGATATATTCGACGAGGGTGGAGTGACTTTCGGAATAGAGTGACATTTGGTGTGGGGAATGACAATACTATCAGCTTTTTGGATGATTGTTGGTGTACATATCAACAACTAAGGGAGAGATTTCCTTCTTTGTATTGTATTGCCATAATGCCATCTGCTATGGTGAATGATGTATTAGATACACATAATGAGAGTATCAGCTGGAACATTGTTTTTGGGAAGGGATTACAAGATTGGGAAGTGGATGATTATGTGCTGCTATTGACCTCTTTGTTTGAAGTGCATATCAGGGTTGGAGAGAGTGACCGCATCAGGTGGACGATGGCAAGGGATGGCATTTTCTCAGTTAGCACTTATTTTAGATCCTTATTGGGATCTGTGGAGAATTCATTCCTTTGGAAGATGGTTCAAAAGTGTAAATTGTCTCCAAGGGTGGCGTTTTTACTATGGACGGTAGTGAGGGGACAAGTGTTAATGGTGGATAATCTTCGATTGAGGAGGTTTTATATTACAGATTGATGTCATATGTGCAGAAAGGATGGGGAAAGATTGACCATTTGTTTCTCCATTGTGATGACGCTCGTTTGCTGTGGAATGATATTCTGGCTTCTCAACATGTGGATTGGGTGATGTCAAGACGTATGGAAAATATGTTGAAGGCATGGAGGAGAAAGTTTTGTGACAAGGACAATAAACTTGTTTGAGACTTTATTTCAGGCTGCATTGTTTGGTGCGTGTGGAGAGAAAGAAACGGACGTTGTTTTGATGATCAGATAAAGACTTTAGAGCAATTTAGAAAATTATTTTATTTTACATTGTATAATTGGTTTAATGTTGCAGCTTCTAGTCACATAGATGGACTGCCTAATTTCATGACGTTTATTTCTTGTTTAAGTGTATAATACACTTCCCTTTGAGACTTTATTTCAGGCTGCATTGTTTGGTGCGTGTGGAGAGAAAGAAACGGACGTTGTTTTGATGATCAGATAAAGACTTTAGAGCAATTTAGAAAATTATTTTATTTTACATTGTATAATTGGTTTAATGTTGCAGCTTCTAGTCACATAGATGGACTGCCTAATTTCATGACGTTTATTTCTTGTTTAAGTGTATAATACACTTCCTGTGTATTACCTTTTGATTAATAAAATATTTGATTACTTATCAAATTTTTTTTTTTTTTTTTAACTTGGGACTCTCACCATGACAAAGCTGTTTGGTCCATTTCACCACAGAATATTTTACAAAATTGCAAAGGAAATATAATAAATTGTATAGTTGATTTGCCAATGTTTTTGGAATGCAGATTAGGACAATTAACATCCAAAAGCTTTAGAGTGAAGTCATGGAATGATTGATTCATCGCTATATGCCTCATATAGACTTTTGCTTGAGAATTCTGAGTTTTGCCCTTCCAAAATGTTTATGATTGGAAGGGTTTTTCTCTTTTATTTTCCCAGTTAATTTTCTGGATATGTGGCTTTCTCATGTAGGATCATACAGGAATATCAAATGTTGCACCACCCGAGGCTCCTCTACTATCTGTGTCCATTAGCAATGAAGCAAGTGATTCTGGGTTGCAGACAGCTAGTGATGTTGTGGAACCAAGAATTCATGATTACATAAGCAATCTTCGGTTCTCTATATCTCCAACAGCCTTCTTTCAGGTGGGACCACCTCGTCTCTTTTATCGTTCTGTCCTTCACCTTCTACCTGCCCCAACACCACCCTACACGCATTTGCATACATGAAATAAAGCAGAAAAAATGGAAGAGGAAATTTAGAATGAGAAAGAGCAAGGTCTATCAAAATGAAAGTATTCATTTTGATAATTGGCTGTCCATCTTATTACCCAAACACTGCAGGTTAACACCCTTGCAGCTGAGAAATTGTACTCCCTCGCTGGGGACTGGGCAGGCCTGGGCCCTGACACTCTACTTTTTGATGTTTGCTGTGGGACTGGAACAATTGGCCTGACCTTGGCTCATCGTGTTGGAATGGTAATGCTTTCATTTCCACTTTTAGTATATCTTTTATTCTTCTTTGTTTCTTTCACCGATTGGACAATTCTGGACATAGAATGGGGCATATTGCTAAGAAGCGAAGTAGGGGAAAAAAAAAAAGAAAAAAAAAAAAGAAGAAAAACACTATTCTGCTACCTCATTTCATATGCCCCTGTTATGCATTTCATTTGTGGAGATCATCTGTTGTATGAAGATTTGAAGTAGATCTCTCTCCCCTCCCATTTATGACTAACCTCAATTAGTGGAAGTAAGTGCTGGGATTCAATTTTTCAGGTTGTTGGCATTGAAATGAATGCTTCCGCAATTTCAGATGCTCAAAGAAATGCAGAAATGAATGGCATTGTGAACTGCAGATTTGTCTGTGGAAAGGTCAGATGGGGCTCTCTCTATTTTCATTCCTCGTTGGTCCACTGTAAAATAGTTAAAAGAAGCAAGATGCTTAAAATCCGTTTATAGTTAGTATATTATGTTGTTATAACTTTATTTTCTGTCTTTGCATGTCCATTGGTGCATTATCAGGCCGAGGATGTTATGGGTTCTCTATTGAAAGAGTACCTTTCTTTACCTCAGAAACAAGACGAAATTTCTGATACATTTCAAGGTAAAGAAGATGAAATGAAATGTGCTGAAGAAACGATAGATTCTGAAGACTCTGTGCTTGGACCTGAAGGTAGCACTTGCCTAGAGAATGAAAATGGCAATAGTACAAATGAAAGCCAAATTCAGAAGAATAGTACGTCAGAAAATAGAAATGCCTTAATGCATCAATTTAAAAATGTTGTTGCTATAGTGGATCCTCCACGCGTTGGACTTCATCCCACCGTAAGTAAATTTATTTATATATTTGAAACCACTTTTACCAGGAATGCCATAAATAATGCCAATGTACAAGAAATATGATAAAACTCATTATCATCTTTGCTTCTATCTATTTTTTTCTGTTTGTGGTCCTTTACGCTGTTTTGGATATTTGGAGAGAACTTTGCCATTCTTGGGAATGTTTTGTTCTCGTTGATACATCGCAGGACAAATCTCAAATTACGTTTCACGGTTTTGTATTGGTTCAAAGAGAAAGATTTAGGGAATGCAATGTTGGTAGTGTCTTGATTATTAGGTTGGACAGGGATTGTGAGCCAAAGTATGATCCCGCTCATTCAGTAGTAACTCTGGTTCCCCTAGCACAGTTTTGGGCTTAATCTGCTGGAGCTGCCTGTGGAATTATTTGACAGATTGAGAGAATGTAATTGGCTGTCAATTCTTTCTGTTCTTTTGTTGGTTTTCTTCTTTCATGTGCTTGCCCTCTAAAGCATCTCTCTTTCATCAATATAATATTCTGTTTTATTCAAAAAATAGCAAAAGCAACCTTTTACTGTTTTGACTGCTCTCTGCTCCAAGCCACCACTTCCCATGATTAAATTTGAATTATTCTTTGAAATTCATGATTTGTTTTGAACTTACTATTATTTTTCATTAATGCAGGTGATCAAGGTTCTAAGGACTCATTCTCGTTTGAAGAGGCTTGTGTAAGTTACTCTATAAGTGATTTATTCTCGTCGATGTTGATTTATTTCAGTATATGAGTGAACTCCATATTCGTTTCTTCAGCTACATCTCCTGTAATCCTGAAAGTTTGGTGGCAAATGCTATTGAGCTCTGCACTCCATCAGCCGATATAACTGAGAAGGGGAATAATAAAAACAACAGGGGCTGGAGAAACATGAGTTCAGCTGGTCTTGCTCGACACAGAGCCAAGTCCATGCCCAATTCTGAGCCTTTTAAACCCTTGAAGGCAATGGCCGTTGATCTTTTCCCTCACACTTCACACTGTGAGCTGGTGATGCTCCTTGAGAGGTAAATATGCCTTCTCTAGATTTCCTTTCTTCATTTTTTCTTGGAGACGGGGCAAGTGGATGGTTTCTCATTTATTGTTAAATTAATTTAAATTTGTAATGATTTTGAAGTAGGTGTACTTGTAGCAGCAAAAAAGTTGAATCTTATTTGTGATTTTGGTTCCATAATCCCCAAGCCTTTTAATGGCTGGGGATGTGATATGGTAATTTTGATTTTGACAGTCTTTGAAACTCTCTCATGTATACGGTTTCTGTTTCTCGTGTTGTCATTTTGTTGCGAATCAATTGGCCACACTGAAGCATGTACATGTTTGGTAGCAAGTGTTCGATAGGAATGGTTAGAATTAAGAAATCGATGAAGTAAAAATCTTGTTCTAAATGTGCACGCAATGAAAAATATAACTTGTATAGCTCGAATGTTTGTTGAAAACAAAAGTAAATAAATAAATACATCTGTCGTAAAGATTAAAGTAGACTCAAATCAGTTATTTGTCATGATTATTGGACATATTTATTTCATGGAATCATATTTTATCTAGGTTTGAGCGTGGTTTGGTCTGGCTTGGTTTTGACTACAACTCAAAACTAAAATTAAATTAGTCGATTTGGGTGAATTTTAACTTAAGCCAATCCACTCTAGCTTTTAAATCGAATTGAACTAAATCAAACTAATATGGTTTGGTTTGGTTTTGTTAGTCAGTTTGGATTTTTAGTCCAAATTGAATTTTTTTAAAAATTGTCCGAGTTTTGGGCTTACATTATAAGAACTAAAATAATTTCATATTGCAAGAATTATTGATTAACAAATAAAATTAGATTAATAGGGATGGATCAACATAAAATTTATTATTATTTTTCATTATATAGCTGGATTGCCTGAGCAGGGAAAAAATATTAGTATAACATAATGAATTTATGAAAAGAAATTTACTAACATCATAAATTTGAGGAATCAATATATAGTTATGAGATTAGGGTTTAACTTTTGATTTTTATTTTTCTTAAAAAAAAGAAGAAGGGAAATATGTAGGTGGGTGGGGTTTGTTCAGTTAATTTGCGATTTTTGAGGTTCCAAACCATGGTTGAATTGATTTACCATAATTTTATCTAAAAAAAAATTCAAATCAAACCAATTACTTATGTCAAACTGATCCGAATCGACTCAAGTCGGTTTGATTTGATAGGTTTTTTGGTTTTTCCTCCTAATTACGAAGGAGATTGTTTCCCCGTCATTGAACAATAGTCTTAACGCTTAGTGATTTTAAAAGGGTTTAACCGGCCAAACATTTGGATTCAAATATGAATATTTATTGTCAATACCTGTATGAGCGTATACCCAATAAGATTTTTTTTATTTTTTTTCATAATATTTTTTTAATACTATTCAATCCTCTGACCAAATATGTTACCAAGGAATGTCGTTGAATTGAATAATCAAATAAGAAAAAACGGTAAAAAAAAAAAATGTAATATTCTATATAATTATTGAAGAAAAAGAATTTTGGTAGTTAATATCTTGGTTTCCGAATATAATAGAAATCTCATCATATCAAGATGAGTTAGATTATGGCAACATAATATAGAATTATAATTTATATTCCTCATTTATGAGCCTAATTTTAGAAGATTTCAATTCCATATTTCGCCTCTTTAAGTTAAATTGTTTGTAATTTCTTAGTTACACGAGTTTATGAAATTTGAAGTGTTCAGGTTATACATCGAGCTACAATGATTGTAATTTTTCAGTGAACTTACTTTTGCAAAACATTTACTAGAATATTACGTTGAGTTGCAATTAGTACAGTTTTCTGTTAAGTCAACAGTCGTAAACTATAGAGATGAGATTATAGTGTTACATTGAGTTACTGGATTGTAATAAATATTCACTTTTTATTATTATTATTATTATTATTTTATTTTTTTTGGGGGCAAAGCATCCTACAATTTATCTACTTCTATTGAAATATTATGTTGAATAATAGTTGATTTAATTTCTAATGAAAATTTTCGTCAAACCTTACATTGTTTGTAGTTTCTTGATTCCGTCCATGTATTGTTAAAAAAATCACTCCATCTTCTTAGAACTCGACATCAATGATATGGTTTGGAATGCTGAGTGGGTATGTAGTGACAACATAGTGTATTATGAAAAAATGAAAGCTTTTCGCATAACTGGAAACAAGAAATGATCCATAATAGGATGTTATTTGATCAATTTTACTTAATTACAAAACGAATAATGTAAAGGAAGATAAACTGACAACTTAAAACCATTATAGGTGAAATGTTACCGTGGATCGTTTGATCAATTTAAAGAGAGATGCTCCAACTTCAAAAATCATATTTAAAAACACATGATTTCATTCATCAAATGAACAAACAAAGTTATCAGAAATTGTAATTTTGGATGGAATCAGTGAACGATCACATTGTTGGATCAAATTGAGGATCTTCGTATTCTATTAAATTTAATTATTATAATATTAAAACAAGTGTTTTAAACCGAACCGGAAATCGCTGAACTGCTTAGTGGTCCAATCCAGGTGACCTAATAATAACATGGGAAAATTAGGTGCAATACGGTAAAAAGATTAAACATTTGATTAATGCCTTAAAACTAATTTGAAACTATTATTACCGTAATTAATACGTTCAAAATCTACAAGTAAAACCCCAAAATCTGAAACCCCTGAATCAAAGAACCTAGAGAAACAAACCCCTGTTGCAGATTGTGGAACTCTCCGCTGTTCAGGTGGCGATAATGGTGGCGTTGTGCAGTAGCGTCTTCCTCTCCTCAACCAAAGACTTTGCCAACGCCTCAAACCTCCGACTAGCTAAAGCTGGGCTTTGCGCTCAACTTATCGAACCTTCTAGCTTAACTTGCTCGGAAATGCAAAACACTAACAAAAGATGGATTCGTCCAATCTAATGCTAGATTCTTCCATCTATAAATCTCGTTTGAGTCTTTGGCTGGACGTTATTTTTGAGATTTTTTTGGAAAGCAGACCGACTTCTCTCTCTCTTCATTCCTGTGAGAATCCCTTATTTCTTGGTGATTTAGGGAACATATTTTGAAGTGATATCTGGAGATTATTCTTGGTTTTGGGACAGGTTTACTGGTTGTTTTCGTCCTTGTGTGGGAACTCCATTTTTTGTGATTAAGGCTCATATATTTTGGTGGTTCCAGTATATGAATGTTGAGAAATCTTTTTTAATATGATATACCTAAATAGTTGTGGACTACTCAGTGGTAGTTTTGCAAGAATCTGTGTCACTTTTATAGATTTTGTCCCTATTTTGAATTTTTTTTTGTCACCTTTTAAGTTTTTGTCACTTTTTTTAATATTTGTCACTTTTTTAAGAAGATAAAAAAGTGACATAATATGTTATATTTTCCTAATATAATCAATATGTTGGATTGTCCTAGACGTGTGGATTATGTTAAGAACATGTTTGGTAATGCTGTACAAATGGATTTTTTTATTTTTTTATCATTGTCACTTTTTTTTTTAGTTTGTATCTCTTTTTGAGTGTTTGTGTCACTTTGTTGGAGTTTGCGTCATTTAAAAAAAAAAAGTGACAATGTTTCATAAAAAAGTGATATTGTGTCACTTTTTTTATTTTAGACAATATTTTTTACTTCAAAAAAACTTTTCATATGATTTTTCAAAACACTTTAAATTTTAAGGGTATTTTTGTAAGTTGCCCTAATAACATTTGCAAACAACCCATTAACAACCCGTCCTAACATTCCGGTCCTTCAAATTCGTCAGCCCGACTTAAATTAACCGAACGGCCACTAACTTACATAAAGACGGAGGAAGCCAGTTTTTCCCCCTCTTTTTTTTTTTTTTTTTTTTTTCCCTTTTTTTTTTTTTTTTTTTTTTTTCACGTTCTGTGTTAAAGAGGTCAGGTCACACATGCCATTTTTTACTTTGACCATTTTATTTTTATTTTTATTTTTGTCATTCACCACAATGACCTCTTAGTGTATAAAAAACAAAATTACCCTTAAGTTGTTATATAATTACAAAAAAAAGGATATTGTTTAAAAGACTATTATCTCCTTTTAAGTTACAAAGAATTCCAAACACTTCCCACTTAAAAGTTCAAAACCAAATTACATTTTTATCTATTTACTCCAACACAGACATAAACCGTTTAATTTTTCATCTGCTTTGACATTGAAATCTCTTAAATTTATTAAATGCTCAGCAAAAAAATTATTTCTAGCCAGCACTTCGAATCAGTAAGTATATTTATGTTATTAATTTCATTTTCGTTGAATTAGTAACTTGTTTTAATCGTTAAAAACTTATTTTTTACATAAGCAGATAAATTTTTACAATTTTAGATAGATCTATAATTTTTTTAAGCAAAATCGAAAAAAAAATCATCTGAACAAGTCCCAATAGTCGGCATTGCCAAACGGCAGGCTGGATCTAGACGGCTAGAAACAGCCGGCCCAAATGTCTAGATCCGCCCAGCTATTTTCTGCCTGTTGGATCCAGTCAGCTAAGTCAAACTGTCGGTCTGGATGATTTTGAAGTTATTTTTTTATCTCCTAATTATATTCTTTTAACAAATATATGTTTCCTAATGTAGATATGGAATCAGCTTACTTTAATGAATTTGAAATGAACGAAAATGATCGGCGCGTGTGGAAATGGACGAGTGAAAAACGTAGTGCTACTGCAATTGTGATAAAATCGAGTACATCGTATGCAAAAATGTACCGCGAATTACAGAACATGCTCAACGTCGATCTCTCTCAATACGAAATGAAATTAAGATTTCTATCTAGCGAGTATACATCCATTTCAATTCCACCTATATTAGTTACTTCCGAAACTGAGATGAAGGTTTTAATTGAATTGAACCAAAATCGTAAAACTCATATTTGCGTAACTTTAATCAAAAAGAATGTTCCAGAGAATGAAAACGAAAATTCTGATGGAGGGGATCGTAATGTGAATGATTTTTTAAACACGGTGGAGATGGTTTGTAAGGATGATGTGACTAATCCCCAGACTATTGTGCCTCACCATGATTTCATCGTTATGCACAGAATTTCCTCAATAGTTCAAGACAAGGAGAATGAAATTGAATTTACTACTTAGGATATGATGGCATTATTCCGTCGAAGACATGAGTCGGGTGAGAGCTCATAGGCTAGAACGAGTACACGATCCTTTAATTGTTCGCATATAGTTTACGATGATGAAGTTTTG